GTTATTGCAGTATAAATAAATTACAGATGCATGCCAAGATGTAATTTAATAATGCATTTCTTTTATCTATGTCACAGGTTTTTAGCTTTTCAACATTTTAGTACTAAATTTCTTATGCCTACAAATTGGATATTTCTTCATTGGATCAGGGTTAGATTTTGACACAAATAACGTCTGTTTCAATTTATGATAGAAGAAACCTTAAAACGTTCAATGGTGGATTAAATATGAGGCATCTACATCTAATGATTTAACATGCATACTGGTAAAATCATGTATTTATGGTTCGAAACCTATATTTACTTACAACCTCTCCAACTACAATTTTTTTTAAATAATTTTTCAATGTTTTGACCGTTGCCTCATCTGAGACAAGTTTTTTTGTAGATTTTTTTTTTTTAAATTCAAGTACTCTCAAAACTTCGCCTGGAGAACTGAATCACTGATCGGATTTGTTCTTACCACATGCACTGGTGGCGCTCTCATCGTCAAGAAAAGTGACAGCGCCACTAGTGGTGAGATTTGTAAATAGGTTGAAGAGGAACATGGATTCCATGAAGATGGATATTGGCTGGTTCACAGTCCCTCTAGAGGGACTGTGTCTGGTTGTACCAAAGTCTTTTGTTGCATGGCCACTGTGACTGTATTTTATTATCCGAGGCCACATTGCTCACGGAAAGCTGCGATTGAATATATAACAACAAATAGACCATTTTCCGTTCACTGCGAGAATCACGCGTTATGAGTGAAATCGAACGTAAAAACAGGACAAACAAAGGTCATAGCGTCGTAGTCGCGTCAAACATCGCGTGGGATTCGACAAACGCGAAAGTATTTCGGGGACATTTCCATGCTTAATAATGTGCTGTACACATTTGATGATAGGCAATTTCGATTAAGTAAGGGTATTCAAAATCAAATCGTTCGATTTTTGCGGCAGACGTTCGACGCGCGTCTTTCATGCATCTCGCGAGATCTCGCAATTGTACGGAAAATCACCTATTGGGTCGTTCTACCACGTGGTATATGACCACTTTCCTGGAGGTCGAAGACACTCCGTTTAGTGTGCACGCGCATGCCGTCACGGTATGTGGGATGTAACATAAACATGCACTCGTTATATTGTGCCTGTAGGTGTATCTAATGACGCCACAAAAATTAATTTCATTTTTATCAGTAAACTGACAAGTTTGTGTTTTCTGTCATGACAAAGCAGATGTATTTCTGCACATCAGGCTAGCTTCTTCCGGGAAAGTGGTCTATTATTTTTTTGCGTTTTACTTGCCGTTGCAAAAAAAAAAGTTATAGTCATTTTTTTTCTCGAAAATTGACCGGCAATTTATTTAATGAAATATTTAATAATGTCTTTCAATGAATTTCCTAGGTCCGTTCGTGGCAGCGTGACAACACTCATCGCGTCGACCACTGTCTTCAGTTTCAATGAATCTTCTAGTTTCCTTCGTGGCAGCCTGACAACACTCATCGCGACGGCCACTGCCTTCAATTTCAAAGAATCTCCTAGGTCCGTTCGTGGCAGCGTGACAGCACTCATTACTTCGCATGTGTACTGTCACAACTACGTCACATAAATGATATCCCTTGCAATTTTAATCCAGTTAATCTGGCAGTAATCTTAGGAACACAACTTCAACTGTTTGTTTTCGTAAGTTCGACATTTTCTAAATTCTTTTGTCGCAAAATTGGCAACCTGGTACTTGTTTTGAGGTCAAATACCTCTTCTATATACAAATATCAGACACGTGCTTAGTATTATTTTACGAGATAGTGTGGGTAAAATGGATCCCAATGCACAGCGATGAATGGAGGTTAATTTTTTATTTGTCCTTGGATGCAACGTGACATTGAAATGATTGTAATTGCTCAATACATGGAGATTTATTTTTACCTCCATGCTCAGTACAAGTTTTATAATTTTTTTTTATTTGAAAATGGCCGTTTTCCCTGATTTCGTTTTTCAGATTTAATAACGCATTCATGTTTCACAGGAAACAGTCTAAATGTTAGTGCGAAAACCATGCACATCACGTGTCTGCTGTATTTCATTGTGCATGATGTGTTGCTTCGCCGGCACTTCATCAAAATGGCGGCTGATACTTTACCTGTGTTTAAATGTTTACGTCAGAACGGCTGATGAGTTGAGCAGGGTTGACGAATAAATGACAGATATTTTAATATGGGAAATTGAGCAACACGTAATATCCACAGCCAGTCAATCCCGGAATAGGCTGATTCACACAATATATACAAGGATATGTTGAGTGATTTTGCATTTTTTGAGTCACTTTCATAAAGGGCGGTGATCATCTCGACATTTGTGTTGATAAACATTGATTTTCCCAATTCGCTTTTCTAATGCAATCACGAGTACAGTTTTGACCTGGACGTGACTTTCCCCAATTACCGCCGGTGACTCATTTCGATATCTTGCAATACCCCCCCCCCCCAATACCTAATTAAAGCTTGATAACTTCTCAGTTTGCACTCGTTGGTCCACGATAGAGGGACTGTGGTTCACGCAACAGTCAAAGTCGCCATTGTTGTTTATTTGAGACCCACATCTCGCACATGCTTAGCGCGACGACCACCGCCCTTTAGCGAAACGGGAGTAGGACGGAATTAACATGACCAATTCCGATTAACATGACTTAGAAAACATTGTGAGCGTGCCTGAACTGTGAAAATTCACAGTATTATTATGCTGAGCAATGTTACGATATCAGGAAAATCGGAGAAACTGTGGTTTATAGACGAGTACATGCCTTTCGTTTGGTGTTTATGTAGTACATGTATCAGTCATATCCTCAGGGGCGGACATCCGGGCATTTTCACCGCCTGGCAACCCGCGGCGGTGAAAACAAAGGCCCAAAACTCGCAGAAAACAGTACTTTGGGATGATTGTTGAGACTCCCCTGAACAGTGTAACAAGATTAGCCCTACGTGTGTAACATACATAAATTTGGCTTGTTCGGGATTACTTCAAAGTTGAGTTTGTGTTGTTTTCTCGAATTTTCACCGGCTCGACCGGCGTTCCACAGCAGCGCGCTCAGAGCCCATAGAAATGCATGGTACAGTGGTGCGCGTCTTAGCAACGTGGAACGTCTGTGACGTAGCTCCGCCCCCGAGGATTGATATACAAATGGACTGAAATGGATACAGCTTTTGTGAGATTATATCAAGAAAACCTACTATTAAATTTATTGGACATAACATTTCATTTTTATAAATATATACATATTTTAATGGCAGTTGAAACTCACCAGTCAATATTCCGCTCACTGCGAGATCCCGCGAGATACCCTGACAACGGTTGTCAGCCACGCGTCACAGGTCAAGCTTTGGTTCAAAATGGCGTCCTTGCGATCCGTTTGTTTTATCGTTCTTTTTACGATTATATGATGGGTGATGTCGACAAACGCACAGTGCCACGACTCAAGAGCCTTTTACGTAAATTTGGTGTTTAAACATCAAATTCTACATCCCTTGCAATTATCTGTCCCAATGCCCATATAATATACTCGTAAATCCTACCGTATGAGCTACAGCCAATCACAACTAGTCTGAAGAAAATAATTAATAAACAATTGCAATGTACAAGGAAAAAATCATGTTGCATGGCGTGGATTTCATTTTGAAAACAATCATTTCAATCACAAGGGAATCCCCGGAAAGATTATTAGATACTCTGGTAGCCTGACATGTAGGGGTGAGTAGGCCCTCTCCGGCCGAACGGCATCAGAACTCACTAATGTTGGGTT